TTTTTCATAAATCCGTTATATCAGTAAAAGAAAGTTATTTTATTACATATCACTCACCAATCGATGCGCAACGATGGAGTTGTCAGCTACATTGATTACAATGATTCTATAACATACGAATATTCAAATTAAACCAGAATTCAAAAGACAATTAATATTTTTAAAAATAATTATTGTACGTACCGAATTTTATGTTTATTTTTTAAATAGATATAACGTTTAGTATAATATGTAATTTAAAAAAAAAACTTTTCTTAAATACAAGTTTTTAAGAATTTATGTACCAAATTCTTTTTCTCTGATCTTTCTTAAATCAAATAAATACTTAATATTATTAATAATTAATTTATATAAATGATAAATTACTTACCCCAAGGTTGTTCCATCGGCACCTGATACCTCTCCTAGGTCACCTCCTCCTCTGAAGATGTTTAAGTTGTAGTCTTCTCTTCACATAGCACTCACTGACACTCATGAATAATTACGATTGGGCATATAATTACGGATAAATTATAAGTAAAAATTTTTTGTGCGACACTATACGCGGCATTTCCGTTTTAAATAAAGTCCGTATTAAAATATCTACATAGCTCGTTAGGAGCCTGCACTTTAAATCGACAAATAAAAGTCGGAAAAAAATGGGTCTTAGAAAAAGTCTTTTAATCTGATTACTTGCACGCCATTTCCGAACGCGACGCGTCACGACAAACTGACTGCGGTTCGTTTATTCAGTTAAATCGGTAGCGTTAGCTTCGTTGGGCTTTTAGATACTGAGCTTTTCCGTCGCGTTAAAATGTATCTGTGGAAGGATATAAATTAACAAATAAAAATCGCAAAAAGAAATATCGAACACACGTAACTGCTACATGAAACATTTAATGCATAATTGCTAACTATTTATAAAAATCGAGGAATGATAGATAATGCTATATAGATCTCTCACTATCTGTTTGAATATTGTTATGTGAATGAGGCGATCTTCTGTACACAGTGACGCGCTATACCACACAAAAACAAATATCGTAGTCGCATGTCAACCGATTTATTACCGTACGAATATTTTATAAAAATAAATTTATTTTTGCTTCTTGTATTTAAAATCAATTTTGAGAAATGTTTGTCGGAGAATGTCTTTTAATACAATATCTTGTAAAAATGGTTTCAATATAATTGATGTGTAATTCGGAGATAGATTACACAGAGAGGAAGATTTATTTGGATGCGAAATTCCTATTTACTCCTATTTATTTCATTTGAAACAATTTAATTTTGAACGAAAACTATATTGTTTAATCCTAAAAATTTAACTTGAATCAATTGCATTTCTTAATTTAAAGAATCGATTTTGTTGAACTATTCCAATGACTACATTTATTAAGTTTAAAGAAATTGTCTCTATGTGTTTTTTTATCATAAATACTATTGAATTACCAATGCTTTCGATTATGCTTTCCTTTAATTGATTTATTTCAGCTAACGTTTCATGTGTTATTCTTTCGTCAATCCGAAAATTATATATCAATGAAAAATACAAGATATATGTATTTGAATAAACAAATATTATATAAAAAAATTAACTACTAATATCACGATGCATAAATTAAATAAAATGTGTGAGTAAAAAAGCATAAATTAAAGTTCCTATTCTTTATCATTTTAATTCTGTTGCTGCGAAACGATAAAATGCACGATATACGTATACACATTTTTTGGAACAGTCGTATTTCGATATGCTTATACTCACGTTAATAATGACAATTAAATGATCGCAATATGTTTATAGAAATAATCGGATTTTCTCATGTCTCGAAAATTGTCGTGTTTCAAAAGATAACGGCGACACACGGAGCAGTTCGCGGCACTACCTATTCGTCCGAGTCTCGCGCCATGAATGACAATAGGGGTGCTCTTGACTACGCGACGACGCGGTATAACGGACGTTGAGTCGAGCAGTTCTACGAAAAGTTTGATACGTCAAGGTGAATTAAAGCAAGCTGAATTTAACAAAGAATTCATGTATCATTTGTTTGCTATTCAATCTTTCGGAACGGTTGGCGCGTGACCTTCACCTTGGTACTTGTTCCGATGTTCTGTGTTATAAAAAGTCGTTGTACTTATTGTCATTCGCTCGATAACTGTCGAGCAGTTAGACGCGACTGCTCTCTGTTTCGTATTATTTCTCGATATGTGATCGCGACAAGTACGGAAAAATGTTCAGTGCGGTCGTTCTGTGTGAGTATTTGACGATTCCTTACTTGTGCGATTAACTTCTATAATTATCTATAATTATCATATAGCTATTTATTAAAATATCTGCACATGTTTCACGCAATTTAATTATTTAAAGTATATTTAAAGATATAGTTTAAAAAAATGAAAAATGTAATTTATTAGAAGTGTGGTATTTCAGTACTTATGAGATAGCTGATATTATATTTTAACGGTGCTTTATAATTCAAATCTCTTACAATGCAAACGACAAAAATTCCACATAAATTTTAGATGTAATTTAAGTATCAAGACATTTTAACAAGGTATATATTTCTCTCAAATTTTTTTATTTTCCAGCCAATTCACCGTGAAATACTTTAATATTTTCTAATATAAATTGTAAATTCTCCTTTGCATTAAGTAGCTTGTACTTGTTAGAGAAAATGCTTATTATATCGAGTTTGCTTGCAAAACACTGCGTCCATCAGTTTAGCTCCTCCGTCGTCATTTTATGTCGACGATGTTGTATGCTATACGCACTGTATGCAAGCCACTTCCTGTTGTAACTCTTTATTTTCTGTCGCAGGATATCATAGCTCATGGCACGGGAATGGTGTTCCACGTCATAAACCTCGTTGTGATGGTACTGATGCCGATGGTGGTCATCCACGTGAAGGATTCCGGATTCAGCTTGGGTAAGTGCCATTTTACGTATCGTTTCACTTGCGAATTTCGTGCACTCGCATCCACGATACTACTTACTTGTTTACAATACGTGTAGCGATCGGGATTTGATTAAAATAATTTACATAAATAATATTTTCGTACTATTTATGTCGTGATTAAAACAATCATCGTTGTACACATAAAGAACTGTAATTTTACGCAATTATCGTAGCTTTCGAAACCATTTACGTATTCCCGAGCTTGGCTTTATATAATTTATTTCTTTTTATGATATACAATTAATCCGTTCGCGAGCGTCACATTTCTTTACTGGTGTACACACAATATTTATGAGTTTATGAATATACCATTCATCTACGAACCATTTTGTTAAAGCATCTAAAAATTAAGTATAGATATAGATCTGAAAATAACTTTATTAAATTATCAAAACAATTGCAAAAGTTTTAACATTCTAGGCTTTTCTGTTAGCTGTCATAATGATTATTAGCAGCTGTTAATACAAATAAAATAGTTTTGGCTGCAATTAAGGCAGAACGTTATAACACTAGCTACATTTTTGCTGTCGCAGTCAGCTAAACATCAGTCAGATCGTGTTACTTGAGCAGAGTGTTTCTGACGTTTTCAGCCTGCTAATGATAAATCTCTAAAGTCTTTTTAAGATAAAAATGTTAATGCCCAGGCTAAATATTTTCTTAAGCATAATAATAAATATCAATAGTTAGAAATATCGGTAATTTTATCTTTACTTACGTAATGTTTATATTAATATTAACAATTATATAAGTTTGACATTTTGGAATTAGAATTTTCATTTCAAAATGACTTCAAAAATCTATCATTAGTAAGTGCGGCGAGTCTGAAACACCGTGTATATTGAATTATAATTTAATTTTAATTTTTTTTATCTATCATTTCTGTGTATATTATGGTATGCCATATTTATTCTCGAAGGAGAGATCTATCAAGAATTCTATTTAAATGCAATATGTATGGTCATCCACGCATCAGATCGATGCGCCGCGGAGGGTTGCAAAGTTTATATGCAAATGCAATTACCTCGTGCTCTCTTTTATCTACAACTTCACGAGTTTTCGAACCATTCGTCTCGCGTTAACCTATTAAGACAAACGGTTGTATTAGACATTTTAATTCACTTCTAATTTTTAAACTGAAAGCGCGAAATTGTGTATAATCTCATTACAGCGCTCATCAATTAAATCACAGATCTAATCGCAATCTTATTCTTTTTCCTTGGATTACGTGTCATAGCCTCTTTTTGTTCGAAGAAAAGTAATTAAAACGTAACTACGTTTGCGAGCGCTGAAGCAGCACTTTTGTCTAATTAAAGGAATTTAAATTAATTCTTTTGGTGCAGACGCATTCTGTAAGCGAGCGATCGATTCGATAGGTGTATTGTCGCGCGCGGCGATCTAATTTAGTTTTTCATTCTGAATGACGAATAATCGCAAGGAAAACGTCGGAACTTTATGGAAAATCGTCTGGACTTTAATTAAAAGATCTTTAATCGCAGTCGACGGAAGGTACCGAGCGTAATAAGCCAGTGTTCTCCTGGTAATTCTGCTTGGCATTGTAGTTTTTAATATTCTCTGTCATTTACATATTTGACATAAAGATATAGATAAATTTACGTAAATGTCAATTTCTTGAATCGAATGAATCAACGCCTTTTTTTAAGTATTCATTAGAATCCGAAGAAAGAATCTCATATTGTCAACTTTATTATTACCGAGGAGTATCTCAATTATTCTTTAAAGTTGAAGAAACTTTTGATTCTGTCGTGGTATTTGATTATCAGTAGTTTCTTGTATGGTCAGAAAGAGAGAAAAGATTTGTCGATTGATCGCAGTTTGGATAAAACGACAAAACGCAAGCTTGCGGAGAATAGAGTTGTCAGACCTCGAAGCATTGACAAAGAAAGATCTTTTAGCTTTACGGAAAATACAGTCATGTTGTAGTAGAGTTAACTATATGTGTGTGGCTCATTAGGTGCCTCTTGCTTCAGCTTTTAATAGATTACCTTTAGTTAGTTTTTCAAGACATACAAAAAGGAAATGAACGGATATGAAAAACCATTTCTTTTCTTTTAAGATTCCAGAAAGTAATATCATTTCTTTTATTCCCTTATTACTAATCTTGATATCAAAATTCTTCATAAAATGTAAAATGGACAAATTTCAGTTTTAATCGTTATTATAAATGAATATTCGCGAGGACATTAAGACATTAAATTGTGAATAATTTGAAGCTCGATCGCAGAAAGTTTCTTTTAGTCATTCTTCGCAGTCGCGATTTCACACCAGAGAACTCTCAGATTGAACGGTAATGGATGACAATGAAACTTCAAAGTTGGATCGAAGCTTTTGAACTTTGACAGGAGAACATATGACCTTCTATCATCGGGGATGCAGTGTAGTCGAAGGTGAAGGATCGTCATGCTTCAAACTCCGCGAGATTTACTTTGCCACTACGAAACTGGAAATGTTACTGTTCTTGCGGATATTGGATTATTTGAAAACTCCTTATCCTAATAACTGTGATAGTTATAAGTTAGGTTGCGTAAACTAACTAATAGAGAATATTGTAATATAAAAAGGTTAATAAAAACATTTTTTAATTATATTAATAAGAAGAAAAGTTATTTAATTAATTATTATTATATAACCAGATAAAAAAGCTCCAGGAAAGATACAAGCACACAAAATAATTATGTAAGACAATTTATAAATAATTTTATGTTATGACAATGCTGCAAAAAGATTTAACATTCTAGTAATCGATTTGAGCGCCCTATAACGCCCTATAATAGGTTCGTTTGCGTTTGCACTTTTTCCACTCAGTATCTTTGCTTTTTCTCTCTCTTTCTCTCTTCAACATCCGAATATATATTTACCTCTTTTTACGTGAAAAAATTTTTGAAGATTTTAAACAACGCGAACAAATCTAATTATTTTGATGATTCAAAAATTATTTTTTATTTGTATTTAATTAAATTTTTAAATACCGTTCTTTCCGTGCGTATCTTAATTGAAACTGCCATTTTATTTAAAATAAACTTCAATACATGTTTGCATACAAGCAGGATAAAATATATGAAAGCACTTAAAGAAACAGCAACAGAAAGATAGGGAAGAAAGGGACGTTTTGTCAGTCACATGTAGGTAATAATCCTTAAAAAGGAAGTAGTTCTCGGTGAAAATCTAGAAATCTTTGACGAACGTCCAAGAAATCCTTGGAGCCTTATTTTCCTTTTTTAGTTTCGTCCGTAAATCGTCGGGGACGGGTATCTCGGGGGAATCCTTGTTGATGTGAATGCATCTTTACATCTCGGCTCGCGTAAAGACATCAAGATCCCGGTGTCTACGAGTGAATACACTTTTGAGTGTACGTTCTCGTATACATCGTCTTGCACGTTGAAGGGCATCATGGGTAAAAGAGCGACAGAGGAGTACTTCCGGCGGCGCAAAAAAAAGAGAAAGAGAGAGAGAGAGAGAGAGAGAGAGAGAGAGAAAGACTTCCTGTGAAAGAGTCCAGACGCTTGAACCAAAGCCACTGCACTTCCGCTCGCAAAGCGCATTCGGCTACGACTACGGGAAGTTTTAAGAAGCGCTTAGAGAGTCTAAACTCATGTGAATCCTTGCCTTTCGTGCCGCTGCGATTTCCAGCTTCCTCCTCACGTCGCCTATATAAAAGGATCTAGTTGTGGTGAATTTTTCTTAAGCACTGACATACACATTGTTCTCTTTATATAGAAGAATCTTTTTAATTTATTGTATATTATTTATTGTTATGTTTTTATATTTACTGATTACTATCATTGCAGTCATCTTCGATTCTCTGTATAATGATAAATGATCAATCTGTGGTCATTACTATTAGAATTTCATTTTAGTAAAAAATTAATCTTTTTGTATTTAACAAGTTACTTATAATTAAGTTATTAAGAAAATTATTTAATTTTCTTGATTCTGCCTGCCTGTCCTATCGAAATTGTATCGTTTCACGTATGCTTCGACAATCATTGTTGTCATGTCCACACGGTGATTGTTTTTTTTGTCAAATGCGAACGTCGAACGATTTAATTCTCCCGATCGGGTTCCTTGTTTGGTTGAAACGATGGGGTTGAAACGCACAAAAAACTGCAGTGAGAGAACTGAGGGGTACGACGCGACACGTAGCACATTGCCGGCAACCGCCGTAATCACGATGGTCGATGCGAAAGCATCGTCAACTATCGGACGTCGAATTTCGCTCATTCGGAAGTGCTCCTACACCGACAGGCGAGCGTGTTTTTTTTTTCTGTTGATACTGCGAAACGTGACACCCGATAGAAATGCAACATGGACATCCTATGACCTTTCAACTAACGCTCTTTCTCGTTTCTATGACCTCCCTGTCTGCGCCTCGTTGTCGCTCTTGCAACCGCACTCGTCCATCCGCATTTTCCCATGCAGCAGATACCCGTAAATGCAGTAAAAGGCGTCGAGTGTTTGCCGCACAGTTAAGTGGTACCATATTGTCGTATAGAGAGGGTTCTCGCCTTTGGTTTGATGATTGGGCAATGGGAGTACGTGTCGATGTAAATACAATTGTGTGTCGAAAAACCTCGTTTATTAAAAATAGAAGATATAACAGCAATTGTGAATAGCAATTACCGTATTGAATTAATTAAAAACATATTTTTCATAGATAAAAAAAAAATGTAGATGGATATTTTACGAATATTATATATTTGCGACAAATACTTCTGTTTAGAACACTAAATGTGCAGAATTTTCGCCGGTGGAGATTGGTTCAGTAGAAAAGTCGGTCATTGATCAGACATGAAAAGAAGACTTTGTGATTTTGACTTCTAATTAGCCTCTGATCCTCTTTTAACTTATAAAACAATCAGCTATGCTTTACTTTGCACATTTGTTGACCAGAGAGAAATGTTCAATAAAATTATTATTAAATTAACGTACAATTAGATTAAATTAACGTACAA